GGTGTGTTAATTTTGCACCTAGAACGGGCCATTCCGGATGCAAAATTAACACACCAAAAGTGCACCCAGAACGGCCCGTTCCGGTTTCAGAAGGGCCGTTCTGGGTCCAGGTGTTTTCAAAAAAATTCCCCACGTGGCGTCCACGTATGCATCTACGTGGCGTCCACGTGGCCAAAAGTTAACACCGTTAAAGCAATTTGGACGGAAAGTCCCACATTGAAACCAATTAATTAATTTGGGACTAAATTGAAACCAATTAATTAGTTTAGGACCAAATTGAGACAAAAAATTAATGAGGGACTAAATTGAAACAAAAAAAGATTATAAGGGACCAAAATAGGTTTTTAGCCTTATTTTTATGATTGATTATAACATAATTATATTAAAATGTCTTTGACTCGTTTTAAAGATAAATATTATTCTATGGCCATAGAAGATAAAATTTGAATTATTTGTAGCTGGAGGTTTGACCTTGGGGATTTAAATGAGTAAGAAATGAAAGTGAAATATCCTATTGTTGATTAAGGTGAAATATCCTTTTATTGGTTGATATTATGATAATGTTCATTTATCCTGACTAGTCACTACAAGTATAATTCAAATTTTAATGTTAATCATCATTAATATATTATATTTTTTTTTTGTATTAATTATTGCTACGCATATTATGTGATTAAAATTATTTATTTAAAAATTGTTCTCACTCCTTATGTTTCTTGTGTAATATAATCATAAAAATAATTAAATAAATAGAGATGGATGTTCCAGCGATCCCAGCTCCTTTTCCTTCAGTAATTTCTGCAGTATTTTCTGGGACTACGTGGAGTGTTGATGCGGTAGCAAATGCAGTCACATTTAATGGAGTAGCAGTGTCGAGTTTTACCTTCTCTCCAAATCAAGAAGTCCCTACCGTGATCGACGGCCCCATAATAGTCACTTTCTTTTTACCGCTCGCCAACCATGTGAACCTAATTGTAAATTTGTTTCAACCACCCATGTAAATATTATATTAGAAAAAGAAAAGAAAACTAGATTATGTAAATAGGCACGTATTGTAAATGTTTCCAAAAATATGTATTATATATGTAAAAGTAAGCAACTACGCACGTAATGGTAAATATTTATGGTACGGTATGATATATAATATTATTACTATACATGTGTTTTCTAGCTAGAAATATTATTTATATATATATATATACGTATATTATCGAGATTAATAATAATATGACTAGACGTTACAATAAGAGTCAAGATCTCCACTTCTTAGAACCCTGAAAATCCTGGTTGAAGATTTTGTGAACAAATTTTTGAATAAATGTCATATATAACCAATTTCTGTATTTCAGTTATTGGATGATAGCATAAGAGACATCTCCAGAATCAAGGTCTATCATCGTCAGAAGATTGGAGGTGAAAACAAAAAGTTAGGAGCGCAACAAAGCTCTCATGATGAGTAGCTCTGGTACCATAAAACGAACGTGAAAAATATGAAAAGATTCTCTCAATTAACAAAGAGGCCAAAAGGCCCTTTATATACAAGGAAAGGGAAAAGAAAGAAAAGAAAATGCAATACATGCGTCATGATGTACGGAATTCCTATAACAAATTTATAACAGAATGATGTACGGAATGGGACAGCACACGCGGGTCGTGGGGCAGCACATGCGAGAGGTGGTTGATGAGGACTGAGAATAATGCTATCATCCGATAAAAATCTAATTGGTGTAAGAACCAATTCTGAGAAGAAGCAACATCCAATAAAAGTCTGACAGTGGTTAATTTTGCAACAGGGGCAAAGGTCTCAAAGTAATCAAGTCCCTCAGTTTGCGTGAACCCTTTGGCAACCAATCTTGCCTTGTATCTTTCCACTGAGCCATCTGATCTGTATTTGATCTTATAAACCCATTTGCAGCCAATGGGATGCTTGCCAGAAGGTAAATCAACAATGGTCCAGGTGTTGTTTGCTGTCAAAGCATCAATTTCAGCCTTCATTGCAACAACCCATTCTTGTGACTTGACAGCTTGATGATAAAACTTAGGCTCTTCATGAGTGGAAAGAGATAAGACATAATGCAAATGTGATGATGACAATGTGTTATAATTTATAACAGAAGAAATAGGATGAGAAATACCTTTGGACAACTGAGGTGATGATGTAAGAAAATTGCAATGGAAGTCCTTGAGGTAGGTAGGTGGAAAAGGTATTCTCTGTGATCTTCTAAGTGGAAAAGGGAGGTGGTTGCTGAGGGCTGAGAATAATGCTATCATCCAATACCATCCTTCAAGC